GAGTGTGCTCCAAGATCATCGGACTTCCCACTCGCCCTCTGATTGCAGTGTGCGAGCAGCAGATCCTTGGTCTAGCTGCTCAGATCATGAAAGACCCCTCACATGCTCTCTTCCCCGCGTTCGAATGGCTGCCCTCCGGCCGCAGGCTGCGGTTCCCAGCTTGCAGGACAGCGAGGAGGAGATCCACCTTCGTCCCCCAGGCTGTTCTCCGCTTAAACTCTTATTCCAAGATCCCTGACACCCCTCCCCCACCATACAAACTCGCATACCCCATTGTGCAATACGGGTTTACAGTGCAATACTTGACGTGCAATACTGTTTTCATGTGCAATACTGTCTTACTGTGTCCTTACTGTGCAATACTGCTCGATGTGCAATACTATTTCGATGCTGAAGCCACTACCTCAAGACCTCAAGTGCTCAGAGCTACTCTTATCCTATGTCTTTCCTTGCTCTTACTTTCTCTACAATAAGCCGCTCTCACACAACTCCAATTGCCCCACGGGGATAAATAAAGTTTTCTGAATCTGAATATATTCCTGTCCGAAAACATTCCAACTGCATGGATGGAATCCTCGGTAATGGCTTACAACTAACAATGCTACCGAAATAATGTGCACGCAGCCTACAAAGCAACAGAACTACCTTGGCAATAACAGCGTAGGACACCAACAATGATGTGTGCTCAGTGCGAGCGGTACCAAATAGGTAATCTCATCGTGCGCAATTTACAGCATGGCACAACATCAAATTGCAAATAATAACGCTAGGCAAATAACCGCAGCCTATATAGCCTAGCATTCTTCCAATCCCATGAGTCTCATATCCACTCTATGTCCGGCCGTTTGGGCACAACATTTTCCGCATCCCGAGCGTCTGGCTCGTGCATCTATGGGTCAATATAGATCTTGCCAACAACCTCCTCTTCCTCCAACTCTTCAAACACCTGTATCCCCTCAGATACGTTTGAAACCACGGTTCGATTTCTGACTGGCCCGGTACACTTTCCATAGTGAGCCCTGCTATTGTTGTCTTTGAAGTGACATCACACTTCCGGGTTTGTCGCTCGTCAGGATCTCACTTTGGGAAAGCGATTACTTTGTCAAATTTATGAAATAGAATGCTTTAAAAAATGCTTTATTTAATGTATTTTAATTACTAGCGACGTAAAAACATTTTAAGATTTTTTGAAAAAACAAATGACTGGAAAAAGTTGAGGAATTTTCATTAAACACCTGTTTTGAACGTCCACCAGGTGAACAGGCAGGTGCCATGATTGGTTCAAAAAGGAGCTTCCTTGAATGGCTCAGTCATTCGCAAACAAGGACGGGATGAGGTTCACCTCTTTGAGAGCAACTGCGTGAGAAAATAGTCAAACAGCTTAAGGACAAAATTCCTCAACGACTCATTCATGTTTGGGGTTTCCATGTTGTCCCCAAAGTCAGCTAGGACAGGTCCCAGCTGACTTGTTAGTTATTAGAACAACCAGAATAGAAAATGCAAGTTGCCTTGTTTTTCCTTTGATAAGCTTAATGCTCATTCTGTTTTCAGGAGTGGCCACTGCCATGGTGTAGCGATGTGGTTGGAGTACCACCTTACCCCGGACATCTCAGTGAGCGTGGGGTTAACCGAACCAATCGGTGAGCAGGTGTGTTGCATGTTTATTCTTTGGCTATGAACTCAAAATATATGGTGTTGGAAAATTTGACTGTTGAGTGCTACTTGTTGCAGGGCCACTGTGAGTGGAGCCGTCACAGTAAGCAGGGCGTGTATTTCTTCAGCTCAAGATGGGAGGACTCAGGCAGTGACAGAGCTGCTGTTTTATACAACTTAGTTTTTGAACCAAGTTCAGGAGAGGTCAAGATGGACTTCAATGTCAAGTCCGATTGATACAGATGAATTGAAAACTTTTTTACAACTGTGTGTTGTTTCACCTTAGTTGGGAAAGAATAAAATAACCGATGTTTACTATGTGTGGAAACAGTTAAAGAAACATAACTGTGCAGGACTTGGGTTTGACTATATACAAATACTTTAATGCACCGCAAGATTTGACAATTAAAACATTTTTTGAATGCAAGATGCCTCAGAAGTAGTGTGTGTTATATAATTATTTTCTTGAGTACAGAAAGGATGGAGTTGTGGCATCCATCCATAAAATTTTTAGCAGTATCTTAGAATCTGATCATTATTAACCAACACGTTTTCTCTCATTCGGTTTTTGTCCACAAAATGAATCCCAAAAGGTCTGTTGATGAAAGCAGCATTTAATTTTAATAACTACACATGTGAAATTAGTTTTGCTGAAGAATAAGTGTACACTGGCAAACAAGTCATTTTATGAATACCACAGTGACAAAGAAAGAGGCTGCCAAATTATCATTTAGGCTTCGTGTATTTAATTTTAACATGTCAGAAGCTGTCATTTGTTGTGGTTTTTGTAGACACAGTTCTGCGTGCTTTTTACTGCAAAAAATGTTCCCTTTTGTTTTTCTTGTTTCTAGTTCCTCCACGCAGCTCAAAATAATTTACACAAATGAATGGGCACTATTTTCACTTTGACCTGTCCAATATTAGAAGATTGATTATATGGATCATAGGGAAGCACATAGCTAGCTGCAACACCAGCCAAACATAAAATGCTCAATATCACAAAAAGGGCTCCAGCAGTGACCTTGACCAGAGAGAATTTGTTTTGTGGTGCAAAATGTGTTATTGTTACATGAAATGTATCACATTCTAATGTGATATAGATTGTTTTTTTTTCCTCCTGCTGTGGCAGTAATACACTTTGGTATGATCTGTTTAGAGCAATGGGGAAATAATAAAAATGGGTTTTGTTGGAACGAACCTAAAACTAGAACTTTCGACAAGCACTGAGCCCTTAACAGCAATTTGTTCGAAGAGAAACAAGGGGTTGGCGTGAGTGTGGCATTGTGAATCGCTGGAATGATATACTGAAGCACAGAGCTGGATGTGTGAGACTTGGAGTTTCAAGCATCTGTCAGTGTGCTGTTTTTCAACACAATCTTCTCCCCTGGCTTGAATGCTGGCATCCCCAGGTATGGACAACTGGCACATCGGAATGCATCACCAAGGTAACACTGAGAGAGAGAGGGAGAGAGAGAGAGAGCAAGACACTTTTCATCAGACTAAAGTGTAAAAAAAACAACTTTTTGACCCTCTGTGAAAAAGTAATTGCCCCTCCTTGTTAAATCACAAAGTAACTGAATAACCATGAATTTGGGAAAGGTGAGTTCAATTTCAAAAGCCACACCCAAACCCGATTACAGTACCACCATACTTGTTGAATCAAGAAATCACTCAAATAGAATCCGTCAGAAAATGGGAAGGAAGCAACACACGCACACACTCAAGTTTGCTGAAAAATTTGACATGGACCAATGGCAGTGCTAAAGATCTTGAACATCCATCCATTTTCCAATCCGCTTATCCTCACAAGGGTCGCAGGGCGTGCTGGAGCCTATCCCAGCCGTCTTCGGGCAGTAGGCGGGGGATACCCTGAGCTGGTTGCCAGCCAATCGCGGGGTACACAGAGACGAACAACCATCCACGCTCACACTCACACCTAGAGACAATTTAGAGTGTTCAATCAGCCTGCCATGCAGGTTTTGGGAATGTGGGAGAAAACCCTCGCAGGCCCAGGAAGAACATGCAAACTCCACACAGGGAGGCCAGAACTGGGATCGAACGCATGACCTCTGCACTGGGAGGTCGAGACACTAACCACTGGACCACCGGGCGCCGATCTTGGAAATGTCCCTGCTAAACTATCACAATGCACTCACACTTCCACAGGCAGACTTTGGAAGATTTGTCTTCGGTTTTGCTTTACTCTCCTCCAGTTCCTCAGCAAGGCCACATGTGCTGCACAAACATAAGTATCATCAGACATCACTTTGTGGACAGGGCAGAGAACAAGCATGCATTTCAGACATATAGTATACGTAACACGGGTCCTTCGAACTGAAAGGTCCAACTGAGGTGTAAAAAAAATCCTAGCTGTATGCTATCATCAGAGGTAAATAGGAACTTACATTTCATGAAGCTTTGGGATAAATTATACTTTTTACAACATGTTACTTCAGTGTTTTTACAAAGAAGAAATGGTACTTTTCCTCCTTCGCATTGAGCAACAATCGGCAGACACATTTTATTTTTATTAATCTATTAGTGCTTACACAAATTATGCTTTGGTTTCTCAGTAAGATTTCCTTCCGCCTTGAGCACTCTCGTTTCACCAATCCAGATCGACTGTGGCACAGTATTACCGCAATAATCATTGTTGTTCCAGCTCTCTACATACTTGAACAATTGTCATTGTTCAATATCCCACAATACCGGACTTTAAAGCGCTCAAGGACTTTCTGCATAACCGCACACCTCAAAGTTGGACTACAATTACTGCTACCCTTCACTCCAAAAAAAAATGCTGCGACGATTATCTGCACCAACTGCACAACCATCATCATACTGTATCGCACCACTGATGACTTTATCTCTGCTCGATGACTCTGCGCATTGTCACACAACTGTCATTGAGTGCTACTACTGCACAATGGTACCCTTACATTACGCAAAGTCTTTCGATACGTCTATGTCATGCCTTTGTTCATCGTAGTTGCTTGTTATTGCAGTATTAGTGTAGTTCATACAACAACAGAAAAAAAAAATCCTTGTATGTTTCACATACTTGGCCAATAAAGATGATTCTGATAACTCTAAAAGGTGAGTAATTTCTCTAAAACAGTTAACACAACTATTAAGGGTGGATCTTATCGATACTAAAATCAGAAATAATTCCACACTGGTGCTAAAATTGTACCGGAGCTCGATACCCATCCTAAGTACAACAGGGATGGAACTTTAATCGTCAATTGTTTTTATTCATCAATTTATTTCTTATGGAGGATTTTAGAGGAGTTTGAAGTGCTCCTTCTATTGGTTTTAGACAATTCCACCAAGATGGCGGCCACTTGTCACGTTGTTATTAATTAAAGAAGCGCTCCTCAAAATAACAAATCAGTATCAAAAATCTGGATCCCAATGCGTGTTGAGGACCCCCCTGAAATAAAATAAATTAAAACAAACGGTGTTGAAATGTACCAGTTCTTGCAGGCTTTCTTCTTTTTGTTTGCACCTGCCCCACAGCTGGGGGCTTTAAGAGACACTGGGTCTGGCTTCTTCAAATCTTCTTCATCAAGCAGAGCATCAGAATCAACTAAGTCCTGGTAGCACAGGGCAGAAGAGGTGTGAGTAACTCACGTGTGCACATCTCAAGTCTTAACCTTCGAGTTTCAACCAATTAACTAGCTACTACGGCACACCTCAACCAAGTCCCTACTACATATCAGGCAAGTCATACAGTCGGTGTCGTCATCAACCTCAGTCACAACATACCGTCGAATTAAGTGATGAATGTTTTTGCATTGATAAAAACAAATTCATTAATTTATTGTTCATTTTTCTTCCCACTCCATTGATGACATGCGGCAAATCAATTCTTCAATTTCTTTGTATGAGGCAAATACAAAAATGCCAACACAGCTGAGGTTAGAATCTTTTTTGATGCGCTGTGTACACTTGCCATGCGCGGATGGGGTGAGAACGGTGCACGATTGAGCACGTGCGCAGCTTAGATGGAACAGCGGTTGGAGTGTTCCTATTGGGTCATGTTTAAAAAAAAAAAAAAAAAAATGCTAGCGAAAAATAAAATAAATAAATTTCGCTGCCATTCTGTTCCAAGATGGCCACCGGTGCATTAATGGGATACTATTCTTCAAACTTTTCTCCAAAGCGCGGATGTAAGAGCAAATGTGGTTGATGACTAACAATCATAATAATAATAACAACAATGATAATAATACATTAAATTTGAAAGCACCTTTTGAGGCCCTCAACAACACAATAACCAACACTTAAAACAGAGGTATACAGAAGTAAGAAAATTAGATTGACAACAATAATATTTCTGAGTAACAATAATAAGAAGAATGGAAACAACACAATCTTAAATAGGTGAGTTTTGAATTTGGATTTGAAGGTGTAAAACGTGAGTTGTGAAGGTGAGATGAAGGAAAGTTCCAAAGCTGGGGAGCAGAGCGGCTGAAGCCTCTGCTCTTCATGGTGCTGAGACGGAACAGTCAGGTGGATGGAGAAGGATCCGAGGGCGCGGACTGGGGTGGTGATGTGGAGGAGGTCAGACAGGTATGGAGGGGTAAGGTTATGAATGGCTTTGAAGGTCAGGAGAAGCAGCTTAAATAGGATATGGAATTTGACCGGGGCGCAGTCGAGTTGCTGGAGAACAGGTAGTGAAGTGAGGCCAAACAAAAAAGATAGTGTGTTTCCGGTAACATGAAATTTCAGCATAGGGTCAGTAGGTCGGACAAAGTATTTTTTTTAATCTTTTTTTTTTTCCCCATCAAAAATTTAAACAAAATAACCATCAAACATAAAACAAAAAGACATTGAACCCGCTGCTCCACGGCCGGCGCCGCCGCCACCTATTTAGTTATCTCCCCGCTCCGAACTCAGGGGGCCGGGGCGCGCCGCCGCCTCCGCTGCCGTCCTCGGTTTTTACTCGGCCCGTGGTGTTCATCAAATACTTCGCTGAATTTTTTCGATACATCAGTGGATGCTATTTTCTTAACATTACGGTACGAACATGCGACTGTAACACAGAAAACGCGGTTTAAACTGTCGTCGGAGATCGCGGCCGCCACCATGTTTCAATGTTGTTGACAGACGACAGGGCAAACGACGCATGCGCTCAACGTGAATATCGTGAGAGTTTGCACCGGTGTAAACCCTCTACACAAAAATGTAGAGGGTTGTTTGAAAAAGATGCCGACCGTAAAGTTTTTTTTCGACGTAGAAATTCTCGGTGGGTCGGGTTACCGGAAACACACTACTTTTTTTTCTACGCCTGATGGAAGATTGGTGTTCTTGTGAGGAGGCAGCTGAGTTCTGCACCAGTTGAAGCATTCGGACAGACTTGAGAGGGAAGCCGAGGAGGAAAGAGTTACCGGAGTCGAGACGGGAGGTGATAAGGATAGAAGCGGTTGAGGGGAAAGGTGGAGTAGAGTGATGATGCAAAGGTGGAAGTAGGCTGACCGAGTTATGTTATTGATAAGCTAATTAAAGGAGAGTGTGCTGTCTAGGATGACACCCAGCCTCCTGACTTAAGTGGAAGGGCAGACTAGGGAATGGCCAACAGAAATAGAAAAACTGCCAACTTTGAATACCATCAATTTTGTTCCAAACAGAAGAACTTTTGTTGCTGTTAAGCTTTGTGAAGTCATAGGCGAGCCAGGACTTGCTTTCAGAGGGGAGGTTTGCACTAGAAATAGAGCTGAGTGTCATCCGTGAAGCAACGAAAGAATGGAAAAGCAACCACTTGGGGCCGAGCAAAGCCATTATGATGTGTAACTGGGCTCATGGAAAAGTGACATCAAAGTCGCAAACTAACTTACCACGTCATCATCATTCATGTCGTTCGCTGATAGTGTCCACATTTTGACTGTGTTTGGATCCAGAGCTATTTTCTCTGCTGAGATACATCATGGCAATGATTAACTTCACATGCAACGATCCAAAGACTCATAATTTCTCAAGCTTCATGACTTAGGTTTTATTAAACAATAAAAACACGGGAAGAAAACGAAAGTTGAATGCAGGATTACAGCTCCTGTACTGAATAGTTTAGTCTTTGAGGATCCTACTGAACATTTTATTGAATAGTCAAGTACAGTGGTACCTCTACTTACGAACGTCTCTTCATACGAAATGTTGAAGTTACGAAATGCCTCAACAGGAAAATATTGCCTCTTGTTATGAAAGAAATTTCAAGATACGAAAGGTTTTCAAAATACAGTATGGGCTGCTAGTCGCAGCTCCGAGTTTTCCTGAACGCAACATACTTAGAGCTGCTGTTGCTCAGCAGGGCATGCGTGTGTATGTGCACGTGTGCGGTGACGGGTTGATCGCAGAAGTTTGGTTGATCGAAAAGTAGATCTTTGGTCACAAAAGGTTGGGCACCCCTGCTTTAAGATCTAAAGCAAAGAGCAATACGAGCATGATGTGTGATTTTTGTGATGTTCAATGAATCAATGTCAATGTGTAGGCAAGGCAACGGGAACAGGTTGTGTTTTATACCCACAATACCTGGCTGAGGAGCAGTTTTCCCAAATGACAACTTGAGTGAACTGGATGATCCGACCTCAAAATTTGGTTTGGCTGCAGATAAGCGTACTCTTGACAGCGTGCTCCCACGGTAGCCCGCAGCTGTCCGGAGAGAGTTCAAAGCCTCTGAGCTCAGTTGTGTGTTACTGACCTAAGGGGAAAACGAGATTCAAACAACAGCAGTTAAACAACTGATAGGGAATAAAAGTTGAACTTCAAATTAGGGCTGAACTATTTTAGAAAATGATTGAATTGTGATGTTTCTGACAGAAATTGCCATTTTCAAAAGTTTGGGGTCACTCAGAAAATACTTTACCATTTCCTAAATTTAAAACAATGCCGTGTTATGCTTAGTTAGTCCCACAGTCATGTGACTGAATCCAGCCGACTGATTCGCAAAATGGCGGTCTATCACACCCGCCTCCTTGACCATCTATGCACGCAGATTCAGTTTCTCCTCTCTCACAGCTAATCAATGGACTTATTCATCTTTTCTTTTGAGACAGTGTTAATACACAATAATGTAAAATTGGGGCGGCTCGGTGTCGACTGGTTAGTGCATCAGCCTCATAGTGCAGAGGTGCAGGGTTCGATTCCGGCTCCGGCCTTCCTGTGTGGAGTTTGCATGTTCTCCCAGGGCCTGTGTGGGTTTTCTCCAGGTACTTCAGTTTCCTCCCACATTCCAAAAAAATGCGTTGCAGGTCGATGGAACACTCTAAATTGTCCCTAGGTGTGAGTGTGAGTGCGAGAGGTTGTTCGTCTCTGTGTGCCCTGCGATTGGCTGGTAACCAGTTCAAGGTGTACCCTGCCAACTTCCCGAAGACAGCTGGGATCGCCTCCAGCACCCCCCGCAACCCTTGTGAGGAGAAGCAAATCAGAAAATGGATGGATGGATGGATGGATGTAAAATTGATCATTGACGATACTATCGATAATATACAGGTATATTGCCCATCCCTACTTCCAACAGAACTGGGGGAGAAAGAACCCCACTGTGGAATGCATTCCGGGACGTGACCATAGACGATATCCAAAGAAAGGCTACAAGAACTGTACATGTCTTCTTTGTGTTCACAATACAACACAACAATGCAATTTGAAATGGCCTGTCTATTCAAGTAGCACCGACAAAATATTGTGAATGTGTTTCATGTGTGCATGCGCATATTTCTTTCACTGGCAGTTTCTAGACTTATGAGTTTGCATGGAGAAGAGTCACAACTTTAGATTACAAGATATTCTTTTCTTTCAGAATCAGTCAAGGTTGGATTGAATAGATTTTGATTTCAATGATTGACTATACGCAAAGTATAGTTTTTAGAAATGATTAACAATAGTGGGAGAACAGGTCGTCTAAACTTGCCTGCAAGATGAATTTCCTCCGTATTTGGGAGTTCACAAACCCCCAGAATTCATCTTGTCCCGAGCCAGCTGATGAGGTAGACCAATCATAAAGCAACGGTCTGTTTAGGAGGCTGCATTTGCGGTTGTGATGAATAATTTTCTCAGCTTGCAATCGGCTTGATTAAACAATCAACGTCGTGTTAAGACGCCCTGACATTGCAAAAACCTGGGGACATGGTTCCAGTAATCCAAGTTCTTTTTCTGCTTCTCTTTAGTTAAGTGTTTGGCAGCTTTCATGCATACATGGCAATGGCGAGTGATGAAAAAAGCGGAAGGGGCGTGGCCTGGACGGGGGCGTGGCCTGGACGGGGGCGTGGTTACTTACAAAAGTGGCACTAAACATGCTGAAGATGAAGTGTATTAAATTTACACAGTTTGAAAA